TTGTTGTAAACGTGGTATTTTTGGTTCATTTTCCCTTCGTCCCATGATTCTTCACTGGGTGTGTTGCTTTCTATTTCCCACGTATGTTGAATTATCTCTTCGTCTTTGTCGCTGTCCTCGTCGAGGTTGTTCATAGTTATCTTTCTACATTCATTCATAATTTTCTCTTTTTCCTGTTTTTCTATCCTTATCCTGTCTTCGTTATCTACCGCTCCTAGTTCGGTTTGTATTTGGTGCGCTTTTATCGATGTATTTTTGAAATAATATTCTTCTTTGATGTTCCATTGTTCTTCTTTTAGTCGGGCCCATTAGTTCATTTCTACAGTTTTTTGTTGTATCATATCGTTTGTTGCTGTCTTGTAATCTTCTATGTATTCGTTAAATTCTTTTGTTCTTTGGTTGTTAAAGTGTCTTAAGCATATCGTGATTATTCCCCTAATAAAACAACCTAGTATTTCGTCTTCTGAACCCAAAAATTGTGCTATCTCTTTGTCGTTATCGGTTATTTCCATTCCCGCGTTTTGTATTATTGCTCTGCGCTCTTCTTCGCTTTTTTTTGCGTATCCTTCTAGGGCTACGAAGTCTTCTCTTGACGGTGTTATACCCATATTTCTAGTAAATTTTATTTTGCTGCGGATTCTTATGAAAATCGATTTATGCAGGAGAGAGTTTTTTTTTTTTATAGCAAAGTAGATCATATGTACAAATCATATGATACATAACTAATCCCTACTTCATATTTTGACGTAATTTCTAATTTCGGAATCCTTTTTCTTTCTTCTTACTTTTCGCTTAATATGGCGTGTTCAAAGTTATTTTCAGGAGAATTACCTGAATTAATAGACGAAGTTATACAATATTTTCGTTATGACCATAAAACATTACGTTCATGTATATTAGTTAATAGATTATGGTGTCGTTTAGCAATCCCATTATTATGGGAAGATCCATTTTCAATTAAATTTCCTAAAAATTATCAATTTATTGAAATTTATTTACGCAATTTAAATGATGATTATAAAACAAAATTAAATGAATACGTAGTTCATAATGACTTATTTCCTTCAAATACATTATTTAATTATCCTAGTTTCATTCAACGTTTAGATGTATCAAAAGTTTGTAATTCTATTGAAAAATGGATTGCAACTGTTGAATCTTCAACAACTGAAAAGCAATATTCTAGCTATTCCATACGAGATACAATTTTATTATATTCACTTATAGAATTAATTTATAAGTCATTATTTCTAATATTCATTGAGAACGAAGTAAATTTGCATAGTTTTGAAGTTACAATGACTACAGATCACTTTTATTTGATTATTGAATTAATTTTACAAAATCCGAATTTCATTTGTAATATTAAACATCTTAAAATTAATGTTTATAAAATAACCAATAACATGACAAATTTTCTAAATTTTATTTACTCTAATTGTAATTCAATTTCATCACTTTATATTCTATTTATACCAACATATTATGAAAAAAGTTTATCACAAATAATTAAATCTAAAGAGAATCTTAAAAAGCTTTCCTTTACTCATAATTATTCTCCCTCATACGATTTATTATTATCATTAAAAAATTATAATTGTTCAAATACTTTAAACACAATTATATTTCATAATATTGATTTTAATTATATAAGTATTTTAGCTGAAATCTTCAATCAATTAAATGTTTTAGAATCAATTCATATTATTTATTGTCATTCTTTAGATTCTAAGTTTATTCAACAAATTATTAATATTACCAAACCTTTTAAATTAAAATCTTTATTTCTTCATAATGAATTGCAAATTGAATCCTTAAAATTCTTAATACAAAAATCTGGAAATTATTTAGAAAATTTTGGAATTGCAGACAATATATCACAACAAATATTACATTTAATTGTGAAATATTGTAGTAAGATTAAATATTTGGGTCCTGTTTGGTCATATAATGAGAGTGTTAATATATTACTTAGTTTAATTGAAAACATTACACAAAATCTTAATTATCTTACAATTAATGACCGTGGTACTTCAATTTTATTACAAAATTTGGGACAAATTCTTCCTTTTAAATTGGAATATTTGAATCTGGGTCTTTCAGCTAAAACAAGTGATTTAGAAGTATTCTTGAAAAATTCTCAAAATACTTTTATTAAAAAATTGTTAATTAAAAATAACAAGAAAGAAGAAAGTCAAGATATTTTTCCTTCTATAAAAGAATATATTATGAAAAAGAAAAGAGTTAAATATTTAGCTATTTTAGAAACTTGTAATGGAAAAAGTGAAGATTTGTTTTCTCAGAAGGATAAAGTAAAGGAATTTCAATTATATGATATTCAAGTTTCAAATTATGATGATTTGTTTATAAATGTTTATGATTTTATAAATGAAATTGATTAATTATTTATGTATTCAAATTATTTTTTTTTATCACTATAAATAAAGTCATGCTATCATATTAATTCTTAAAGAATAAAATTAAAATACAATAATTTAAATAAATAATTCTACTATAATTTATATTGTATAAAAAATCATTGAAAATATCAAGAATATTTTAATTATCCTTTTGTTATTTATTAATTATTGTATTCATAGTTAGCTATAAACTAGATAACCACACATTATCACATAATGAATGTTTATTTTAAATGCCAGTAAATGTAAAAAATAGCTTCGTAATTTTGTAAAGATAGTTTGAAGAAGCTAATAAATGTGAAAATATTTGAGAAAGAAGAAATTGTTCGATCTGTGCATCTAAAAAAAATGTGCTGTTTTTTATAGTAATTTATTATCAAAATTTCATCTATAAATTTAGACTCTAAAATGTTAACTATACAAAAATCTTAGACGACTTGATATAGTTTTGATTTACATAGTTAACAGTGCAACCCCACTGGACGTGTCGCATAAATATCATGACTCCCCGTGAAATAACTATTACATATTTTATAGATTCATTTTTAAGATTAAATAATTATATCTTGATTATGATAAAAAAATCTGTTTTCTTTATAAGTATTTATAAGCATAATAATCTAACTGATCACTACCAAAATATGTAACAATTTTATTAATAGAATATCTAATTGACTATGATACTTCATTTGCTATGCAATAAAATAAAGCATAGTAAGATTGAAATTATCTCTTTAAATTCTTATGCTTGAAAGAACTTAATTTATAACAATCTAAATTGCATGAATAATTAATGAATTTCTTCTAGAAAATTAATTATATCAAATTTCAAATCATTATACTTAAAAACACAAATATTATGTAATGCAAATTCCTTTACTTTGTCCGTCTGAAAAAACAAATCCTCACGACAAACTTCTAAAGCTAAATATTTAACTCTTTTCGTTTTCATAATATGTTCTTCTATATAAGGTAAAATATCATCATCTTTTCTCCCTATATCAGTACTGATTAACAATTTTTTAATAAAAGTATTTTGAGACTTTTTCAAGAATATTTCCAAATCACTTGCATTAACTAAATCACTTAAAAGGCTCAGATCCAAATATTCTAATTTAAAAGGAAGAATTTGTCCTAAATTTTTCAATAAAATTGAATTAGATACGGTAATTGTAAGATAATTAAGTTTTTGTGTAATATTTTTAATTAAATTAAGTAGTAGTAAATAACAATTATTCTGACTATATACACAAATAGAATCAATATATTTAATATTACTAATATTACTACAATATTTTATAAGTAATCGTAGTAATTTTTGGAATTGTCGTGGTTTAGTGTATCTAAAATTTAAATTTTCTAAATAATTGCCAGACTTTTGTAATAACAGTTCCAACGATTCATAGATGATTTCATTCAAAAATAAAGTTTTCAATTTAAATGGTTTTGTAATATTATTAATTTGATGAATAAAATTAGAATACATGGAATAACAATAAACGATATGAATTGATTCTAAAACATTCAACTGATTAAATACTTCACTTAAAACAACTATATTTTTAAAATCAACAAGATAAAAAATAATTGTATTTAACGTATTTGAACAATTAGAATTTTGTAATGATAATAACGGATGATACAATGTGTATTCATGATTATAACTAAATAAAATCTTCTGAAGATTTTTTTGAGATTTGATTAATTGCGATAAACTTTTTTCATTCTTAGCATATTCTGGAAATGGAAAAAAATAAAGTGATGAAATTGAATAACAATTAGAACAGAGGATTCTTAAAATTTCTCTTATGTCATCAAATGAATTACTCCAATCTAGTTTAAAATTTGTAATATTACAAATGAATTTTGGATTTTGTTGTATTAATCCTAAAATTTCATTAAAACATGCACATGGCCTAACTTTAAAACTATGCAAATTTACTTCATTTTCAATGAATTTTACAAATAATAACCTAAAAATTAATTTTGTGAAGTCTGACACTTGTAAACGTGAAGTTGTTGTTGCCCCAACAGCCCAATTTTCAATAGAATGACGAATTTTATTTGTATCCAAGTATTTAATAAAACTAGGATAATTGAATAACGTATTTGAATGTAATAAATCAAATTTAATTCCATATTCATTAAATTTTGTTTTGTCATCTTCATTTAATTTAGAAAAGTAAATTTCAATGAATTGGTAATTTTTGGGATAATCCTTTGAAAATGGGTCTTCCCATAATAATGGAATTACTAAACGACACCATAATCTATTAACCAATATACACGAATGTAATGTTTTATAATCATAATGAAAATTTTGTATAACTTCGTTTAATAACTCGTGAGGTAAATCTCCTGAAAATAATTTTGAACATGCCATTATGTTAAGAGAAAAGAAAAAAGAGAAAGGAGTTTCCGAAATTAAAAGTCCCGCCAAATGATTAATTTATGTGTTGATCAGTCTTTTATATATTTGTACATGATCACCACTTGATCGGATCATATCGGAACAACAAATCAAAAAATGATCGTATAATTGTATACTGGATGTATAATTGATTTGCAGTTTTCACTAACAATTTAACAAATTAATGGTAATCATGACATTCTTTATACCTATGAAATAGACACCATGAATAATTGGTATATGTTCTATTCATAATCGTAATCATGATAAGTTTATACGGCGTAAATTTTTACTAAAAGCTAAGAAAATAATTAACGCGTAAATAACACGCGTATTATTTACTTCCTCAGCCCAATCTCTATAGATAAATATTTAGCCTAATTTTCGATGGTAGAGTCACATCACATCAATCTACGCCACATACTAATTATTAATTAATATAAATTAATTAACAAGTAATTAACAATTTTCTGTACTACTATTTTCTAATTCTATAGGTTTACTAAAACAAAATTTTTTTATGCCTAGATGTAACAATTTTGTGCTTTGTTTTAATGAACAACATATAAAAAATAAAACCACGTTTGACAACTTATTACAAATTATAATTATCTTGAGTAAATTCTAAGGAATAATCCATCAAAGAAGGATCGATAAAAGAGAAGGATGGGTCTATTAATGATGGATCTATTAAGAATGGATCTGTATACGATGAATCTGTCAAGGATTGATCTATAAATAAGGAGGGATTCATATCAACATCCAAAAAATCACTTTGAAAAAGATCTGTACCATATCGATATCAACTTCCGACATATCTATATCAATTTCCGAAGTAGTATGTGACACAATTTCTGAAGAATCTTTCAACACCGAAGTATCTAAATTAGTATTTTGCGAAATGACTTCTTTTGAACTTTTATTTTGATTATGAGATTTAACAGGAGAATATTTATAATTAGGATATTCTATTGAATGAATTTCCTTAGTGATATGAGACAATTCAGTCCAAAATTGCGATTCACGTTCAGGTATTTCATTCCAAAAATTAGATGCAATACCGGAAATTTCACCAGTTGACATATTTAATCCTATTAATCCCTTTGAAATATTTTTTCGATATAGAACCCATGGATTTTGAGGTCTTGGTATGCTTTTCGATCTTGTTGCATTTGAAGGAGATAATAATTCTTGCAAATTTAATTATTTGGATTGATCTCGCACAGAAGATTGTAATTTCTTGATTCTTACTATACTTGAAGATTCTTTTGTTTTTTTTATCATAGTTTAAGAGCAAAAATGTGGGGAGAGAATCTCTATATATACTGTTCATTTATTGGCGTAAAACAATACTTATAAATACAAAAGAAGTTAATTTGACACATATTATAATACGCGTATTATTTATTTAACTTCCAATGCATAGAAATAATAGATAAAGAAAATTCTTTTTTGAACAATTACAATTCATCATAATATGCTATGGCATAATTAATTCAATTTTTCTCGAAAATCTAACTAATTGAAAGAGGCTAAATTTTCTAGTCGAAAAAAAGTTAGTATAAGGATATGTCAACTACTCTCGCATATATTGCGCCATGTAACTAATAAAGAGTTGATTTTTTAAATTAGTTATGCTAAATCAGTTTTTTATTATAAAAAGTAAATAATGGCAAACAATTGTTAATCTTCTGATTTAATAAATTATATATTTCTTATCGTTATGCGTTTTGTAAAATATTAATAGCTAAGAAAATATGTTCTCAATTAAAACTCAATTCCATTTAATCGCGTATAAGCAACTATATTAAAGAATGAAGTAAATTATTTGTTTTTAAATAGTTAAGAATATATTAAACGCAAAAGATTTGAAATATAAATTTCATTTTTCAAATAATTTTTTTTACTCAGTTCCCAATGTTTACGATATTATTAAATCGTATTTTGTTGATCATTGTCGATCGTAGCATCACATCTTTGTGCTGCGTTTTTTTTTTAAAAAAATTATGTTTATCTAAAAATCTACCATTTTTTTTACATTTTTAAATCAAATAAGTTATTCAAAGTGTTTACCTCTTTTAGACCTGATGTATCATCGGTCACTTTGTTTTGTATGTACTTTATTTTCCCGTCCACGCGATACTCTTTTATGACTTCAACAGCTTCCTTTGGCGAAATGTTATTCATTTCAAAGGCATTTTGGTTGTGACCGCCAGAGAGAAAGCTTACAATTTTTTGACCCCCATGTTTTTGTTGCACCCATCAAACATTATTAAAATATCACGCACATCAATGGAAAACTGAAAAAAAGACTAATTAGTAAGAAAATGAAAATCACCTCCAAGAATTGAACTTGGACACAAAAATTGTGGAACCAACGGTGATGGATAATGTTGAGTTAATAAGTTATTAAGGAAAGAACTCAACAAAGGAATGAAATAAAGGGTATCACATGTGAAGAATGAAATCACATGAGATAGATCAAATGATCAAGAAAGGTAAATTTTACAAGACAAAGGATCTCTCTGACACC